GGCAGGGAGTCTGCTTCTCCCTCTGACCCTCTCATGCTCTCTCTGTCTCATTCTCTCTCTCAAATAAATAAATAAAATCTTTAAAAAAAAAAAGGTGTGGGAAGAGTATAAGGAGACCAAAAGGATTGTGTGGTAGTCTGCAGTTAGTAAGTAAATAGAGCTTTGTTACTATCACCTATAGACCCGACGGGGGAAGTGTTTATTTGAACAGAGAGAGAGAGACAGAAACCGAGAGAGAGAGAGAATACTTTGTGGAATTGGAAGCCTGATAGCAGACTTTGGTCAAGGGATACAGCTATCCCATGCACACCCTGCAGGGAGGCAGCCTGAGCTAATAAATATCCTGATCTTTTCCCTTCCTTCCCCTTTCAGTGCTACCCTATCTGTCAAACCCAACCAAATACCAGAGGGCAACCTGTTGATACGGTGCATATAGTTTAGTCTGCTACCCCTAGCTCCCCCATACTCCTGCACTCCCATCAAGCCAGTGTATAACAAATTTAAGAAGGCTGAAGAATGGATCTGAAAGTCCAAATGAAATATATGTAGAAAATATAAGAAATTTGTTAAAATATTTTTTCTCTATATTATTTTGTCTATTAAAAAGTAAAATTCAATTTTTATTAATCTGGCCATATTTCGACATTTATATTTGAAGGGGATCTCCTGCTTGGTTAATGTATTTATTAGTCCTTGAATAAAAACAAACAAAAAAATTCCACAGTGGATCAGACCAGTAGTAAATATATATATTTATTTGTGTCTGTTATGATTTTGGAAACAGATGACATTTTGTAGAAAAACATTGTAGCATTTTATGATGCCACTGACATATTTGGGGATGCATCTAAAATATGGACAAGATGATAACTAAGAGTCAGGAGACCTTAATTCTAGTTTTAGACTTACAGATAATTTGAGGAGGGATATTCATGTAAGTCACTTAATTCCTTTGTTTTCAGCTGTAAAATTAAGAAGTTTGGCATCTCTTCTAGCTAGACTATTTTATAGCCTCTAGTTTCCCTTATTTGGGGTTTATTATTATTAATGATCATTATCACATTCATCAATATATTTGCCTTGATTATATATTTTCCAAAAAAGAAAAAAAATGTAGCAATGAACAAAACCTTATCAATTTGTGAGATTGTAAAGAATGAGAAATGTAGCCATTTGCAGTTAGCAGTTTCACAGAGAATTTGAATGATTCATGACAAGGAGACAAATGTATTCCAAAATCTCAACTGTTTAGATGGCTCAAGCTTTTTCTGACCTTAGAACCCTGAAACATGCTATTTTCTCTTCAGGAAAGATTTCTAGCCTGGCTAACTTGTACCCTTCCCTTAGGTCACAGCACAGCTGTCAATCAAAGAAGCTTTCCTTAATCCTTCTCACCCCTTTCCTCCTTTTATTTTTATTCTTAGAATCTATTTCTTTTCAGTTAGTGCCCTATACATAATTTGTAGTTATATATTTATTTGTACAATTTTTGTTTCTTTGTTTGCCTTCTATCTTTTCTATTTGACTGTAAATCCCTGGGTGTAGAGATCATATCTGGATTTATTTTAAATCTTTCTCCCCAGTCCTTATCACAGTGCCTTGCCCAAATGAATTAACCGGTTTTCAAATAGTCAAATGAATAAGTTTATCTATGTTGTCACTGGACCTGCAATTACTATATCATGAGGAGGAATTTGGGATTGTGAATCTTTTTATAACTTAATATAGAATGTCTTATTTATTTTCCAGGGGTTTGTCAAAGGAACAGATACTGGGGGCTAGATTGCCAAAGGGTTGAATTTGGCCAATTTCCCTTGTTCAGCGCATGGAACATCCTCATAGATGCAACAAAGAGAGAAAATATAGAAAATGCACATTGAAAATAACAAAATAATGAAAATAAAATGATGATACAATAGTAATATAAATAGACTACTCTAAAAAGTTTATCATTCTGAGAAGCAGCGTTTTTCAAACTCTGCACAGTTGGCATTATTTTGAACCAAATATGTCTCTGATGTGGCAGAATGCCCTGTGCTTTGTAGGATTTTTAGCAACATTGTTGGCTTCTACCCAGTCAATTTCGGTAATCCTCCTTCAGTTGTGACAACCAGAATTGTCCAGACTTTGCCACGTGTCCCTTGGGAGACAAAATTGCCTCAGTTGAGAACCATTGCACCTCAGAATTAATAAACAAAAAACCAAACCAAACCAACCAAAACAAGCAGTTTAACACACTATGCATTATCATTTCACTATCCCAAGAACCTTAAAAATCTCATAAAGAAGATTAGTGTTGTCTCCATTTCACATATAAAGAATAGGAAAGAGGACCAATTAAGTAATAACTTCAAAGCCACATAGAGGCAGAGCAAGGATTATGAATCCAGGTCTTTTATTCCATAGCTTGTTCGATTTCCACAAATCTATTCTGCTACCTTAGTAGAAACACCCACTGGAGGGGTTCCAGAGCAGAGATGAGCACCAGCCCCTGGAGACAATGAGGACCCTGGGAGGTGAGTGGGCTATAGCTATGCCATGCACCATCACTCCCAAGCCTGAGTGTCACCTCCAGAGTTTCCAGAGGCAGAGGCCTAATTTGGGATACTTGGTGGCCATCATCTGAGCCCTCTGAACTACACATTCTCAAGCCTGAGAAGAGAATTTCCAAATCTTTCCTGACCCTTTATTTTATGGGAGACACTTAGAAGAAAGGAATTCAATCTATTTTCCTTTTCAATATATATTTGTATTGACACTGTAACTTTTAAAAGCAAAATTAATAATATCAGTGATTGATATGCTTTTAGAAATATTAAATTTATTTATTTTTTCCAACTCAATCAGGGGTGGTTTGGGGAAGAGGGGAGGGAGGAAGAAATAGAAAGAGAAACAGAAAGAGAAACACACATAGCACAGACCAAGAGAGATCGAAAGAAAGTCAGAAAGAGATAGAAAGGCAGACAGAAAGGGACCCACTTAGACATGCAGGTGGAGCCACAGACACACTATGAGTTAGGAGGGAGATGAGAGAGGGGGCCTTGGGGAGGAGGAGGCTGAGGGACAGAAAAGGGCCTTGGGGTATAGGGTCTGTGAGGGAGTTGGTAAAGGTGGAAGATGACTGGTTACTCTCCAGGGACTTGACCAAGTAAAATACCTGATTTCTGTAATGCTGCAGGCATTATTGGTGAGCATATTGAGGATCATTTCTCTCATCCCAAGAAACACAGTGAGTCTGTACAATGTCCTGAAAAAACTCTCAGACTTATCCAAATAATAACCCCTTGAGGACACAGGACATGAAAACCCCTGTTTCCCTCTCTCTCACTTTTCTGTCCCCTCCTCTATTTCCCTCTGGCCCTGCAAATCCAAGAGCAGCTGACTTAAGTCTATGTCAGGAGAGGTGGCTATAAGCAGCTGTGCGCAGCCTGGGTCGGGGTGGGGGCAGCTGTGAGCTCTATGTTTGGGAAGGCCTCAAAGGTTTGCTCCCCAGGGGCCATTTGGACCATTCTAGACTTCTAGATTGAGGCACACAGCACTGAGGCAGCTACTATCCAGTTTATAGCATCACAATTACAGTGGAAACCTGACTATTCTGGGAAGGGCTTTAGTGCCTGATCCACATAATATTTGATACCTCCCTCTGGATCGAAAAGTCCCAAAGTCAACGTCCAGGATCCAAATATTTTCTAACTGCCTTCTCAGCCGACAGCCGGAGCCAGCCATCAGAGGTTTAACTGGACTGTGTGCAGCTGACAGACCACAGAACGGTTAACCTTCAGGTGAGAAATTGAGTTGACATTGAACATGGAGGAAGTAGTTGTCATAGTTTATGATAAAAATAATTTCTTAGTCTTTGGCTATGGTGTTCACCCCAAGTGATCCGTGCCTCCTCTCAGTCAGTGGATGCTGAAATCAAAATATTGTGTGGGAATTGTCAAGAGCACAATTGCCATTGGAGACAGAGGTTTGAGATTATATCATAACAGTGCACTGTTCTATGAAAAAGCCACAGGTCCCAGTACCAGAAGAAACAGTTTTCTGGTCCAACTGCTTACTTTACTCAGGAGGATACCCAGCACCACAGAGGTTAAGGGACTTGTCTAAGATCATGCAACAATTCAGTGGCAGAACTCAAGCTTCCTACTCTTCATCCTGTGCTATTTTCACTTAGGGTACATGATAAATAATAATATTTTCAATAGAAATATGTGGTCTTTTTGAAAATTTTCAATTAATAGTCAAAAGAATGTCAATGCATAGAGTGAATGGTTAATAGACAGTGAGAATTAGAGGGAGAACTAAAAAAAAAGTATCCAGCATTTAGCCTAATATGTGTGCAATCAATATTTATTGAATGAAAGGAATGGGGTCGAATTATTAGTGCTCTTCTCAGGAGGTTCCCGTTAAAACAGCCACAGAATGATTTACTTTAGTGAAGGATACAGGGCTTGCAACTCAAAAAGTGCCATTTTGGAAAGGTTTTTTTTTATTAAATAATTAAAACTGATAGCAAATTCACTAAATAGTGAAATGTTAAAGATAGAGGGCGCTCAAGAGATGAACAGATGCAAACCATATGTAACTACTTAAGAAGGTATACGCTCAGCAAATGCGAAGCTCCTCTGTTGTCTCTACAGAGTGAAGCAAGTCCTGTTTCCCAAGTCTCTTTGTTTTGGATTTTTTCCCAATGTAAAATATCCTTTTTCCATGTAAAATTCAACAGCATAGACTACAAAGCCAGATTGCATAGAAATGGTAGGTTATTTGAGGAGAATTACCCTCCCCCAGTACATTACTCTTAAATAGAACATTTCATTAAATATCGCCACTAGCAAAGTGGGGCAGGGGGCAGTGTTCCTCCTAGAAGTTGAAATAGCATTGAAAGGTTGAATGAACCAGATTTATATGCACATTTTTCAGATAACTAGATTCTCTGGGGACTAAAGAGTGGTAAAGGTTTAATATGATCTCAATGAATCTCTCAGGTCTCCTTGTATTTCATTGTATTCTGACCATGAATCATGTGAAAGTTCATCAGATCAACTCATTTCTCAGCTGTTTGTGTCTTAAGACCTTCCCTCTTGTTTGGCAAATCTGATGTGATGATCTGTCTGTGGTTCCAGGTCACCTGAGCATTTAGGCTGCTGTTCTGTTTACAGCTCCCAAAATGTCTTCTTTTCCCAGAGGCTACATCATCCTGGCTTTTTGACGTATTGGAAGGACGGAGGTATTGTAAAACAGCTCTTTGAGCATCTCTATTTCGGGCTATAAATTGCTAAGTGAACATAAAAGGCCAAGGATTCCCCTTTACAATTGCTCCCTGTATTAGCACAAGCCAAAATAATGCTTGCCAGGGTCACTTTTGCCTAGTCTTGATGAATAACAATTTCAATCCAATAAACCTAATATGCAAAAAAAAGAAGTTTTTTAAGGTTGTTCAGAAGAAACTAAATTAGCTGTTATATTTAACATTTAATTTACTGATAAAAAAAAATCAAAGATTCCCATGGGATATTTTATATTTTGGCAATATATACTTCAAAGATTCCTATGTTAAATGATTCTAAAAGAACACATGTTAAAGCATATGAATGTTCTAGATTTTTAAAAGCCATACCTTTTGTCCACATAGCACACAAACTAAACATTACCAAGACTTTACCATGCATTATACCATCTAAGCTCATAACCTTTAGAGAAAGGTGTGATTATATGTATATTAAAAGTAAGAAGGGGCGCCTGGGTGGCTCAGTCATTAAGCGTCTGCCTTCGACTCAGGTCATGATCCCAGAGTCCTGGAATCGAGCCCCTCATTGGGCTCCCTGCCCAGCGGAAGCCTGCTTCTCCCTCTCCTGCTCTCCCTGCTTGTGTTCCCTCTCTAGCTGTCTCTGTCAAATAAATAAATAAAATCTTAAAAAAAAAAAAATAAAAGTAAGAAATGTACCTCAGAAAGATAAGGGGCTGGTCTCAAGACATATAGCTAGGAAGGAACAGCATAATTCAAGCACTTCAGGACAGTAAAACTATTCAAAAATATATTTTCTAGTATGTTGTCTGCTAAATGCTGGATCCCTCAGGAAATATCTAATGCTTTTTGGGTTCAAATTAGAAGGGAAAGACCTACTTATCAAATTATATAGGGCTGGAAAAAATATATTTTTGTGAAAATTGTATTTATGAATTTGTAGACTGAAATCAGAAGATAAACTTGAAAGTAATGTATCTCTTTGCCATTTAATTGGATTGCTTGTAAACCATCCCAGAAGAATCAATTTAAGATCTAAAAAAAAAAAAAAATACAAAACTTATGCACTTTTTTTGTGTTGGCCGTCTCATTGCTTAACAAATCTACTGAACTAAAATTCTTTGTTCTACTGTAAAACTATTGGCCTGTGGAGAAGGATTATTGGTTACTAAACTGGAATCTGTTAAGAAAAAGTCTTTGTTGAATCTTCCCAAAGCTGATCTTTAGGTTACTTGATCTTTATATTGTTTCTAATGCTTGATATTTATTTAGATAAGGTCCCCAAGTAAGTAAAATGTCATGTTTCCCCTTAATTCCAAAACTTTAGACTTTACTCGATATTAAAGTAGAAGTTCAAAAAGTACTGAATGCAATTAGAGCATTGTTTTATAGGTCAAGTTGGATACATATTTAAGGATTATGGTATTAATTTATTAGTCAGTCCACTGTCTGCAACTATCATCTACACTGTTCCATCTTTTTGCTACTATCATTTTCTCAAATCTTCACCATCTGACAGGCATTTTTGTTCTCCATGTACCCCTCCTCTGTACTTGTCCTTAGTCTGCAGCAGTGATTCTCAAATATTAGCAAGTTTCAGAACTTGAAGATTTGATAAAACACAGGTTGCTTGGCTCCACCTCTAGAATTTCTAATTCAGTAGGTCTGGAAAAGGCCCAAGAATTTGCATTTGGAGTTGGTTCCCTGATAATGCTGATGCTGCAGATCCAGGGCCCACATTTTTGTGACCACATATTCTATGTCTTTCTGGTTATTTCCATTTCTTCAGTTTGGCTTTTGGTGCACTGGAAAGACATTTCAGTTTCAATTATCCAAGGTTCATTGGAAAAACATCTCAGTTTCAATTATCCAAGGTAACAGAATTTTCATTCATCTGTTTGCCTCCAAGCAACCTCACGATCTAGTAGAGCCATAATGGCTGTTCACAGAGAAAAGAGATTCTCCCATAGGCCATACTTAATGTAAACTGCTTCCTACTAAGGCTTGTCCCCTGCCTTCTGGGATCGAGAAAGATGTAAAAGAACAGCTTGTCCTTCTTTTTAAAACAGTCTCTAAACAGAATCAGGTGATATAGCCAGGGATGTATAGGATCTTTGGTGCCTTATGTGACTTTTACCTTTATATGTTCAGAAGTATGTGATAAATTATTTCTTGTTTCCACTACGGCCAGACAAGGTGTTGTGAGGGCAGAAAGCTGTTGGAATTACTGGAGTGCTTCCTCCTATTGCTCACACTCATAGTAATTTACCTTCTGGAAATAAAATGATAATTTTAATCCATTAGGTTACTCATTAAAGAAGTGGAAAAAAGGAAGAAGATTTAAATCAGGCTTGGATTGACATTGGTGGATCTGGAGTTAGTCTTAATGTAATATCTAAAACTCTAGCTGCTTTTTCTTTGGTTATAGCAAGTCTTATTGATTTTTTATTGAAAAGATTCTTGGCTTCTGATTTTTATGTTCTTTCTCTTGAATTGTATAAAAGCAGAGTTTCTATAAAAGGGTATTTTATTTTACTCTACTATCTGAACATCAATCATATGCCAGAGAAAAGAGTCAATGTTTAAAAGACATGGCTCCTGCCCTTGGAAACCTATATAAAATGTAGACATGGCAGAGCAACATTAGACATTTTTCTACATAATTAGAGCTACCTAGGGAAAGTGTATCTCATCACACATCTATAGAAGATTCTTTGGCTGAGGACCTTTCATAAGGGATTAACCTTCAGATGCATTTTCCTTCCTCCCACCAGATGTGTGTTTCTCTTACAAGCACTCCCAAATAATTCAATATTTTATATAGTGAAATAATTTCACTGGAGTAGAGAATCCTTTTTCTGTCCCAAGGATTTATTTTTCTATGAAACACTTAGTCACAGGAGGTCAATATCTGTGTGTTTCTGTGGATGGTCAGAGTACTGTAAAAGAGGCAATGGGGACCATAAGCAGGACAGGCAGCAGTGCTGGTAAAAATAAATAAATGAAAATATAGACAAAATAATTCCATCTTCCAGCCCTTGCATTTGCTAAACTGTCAGCTGTATTCACCATATACTGGTCTTGAGCTCATTAATCTTTAAACACATTAATTATCACTATTTTGACTGACTCTGTGGGATATTTACATGCTGTAAACAGTTCTGGTATTCTTTGCAAACACATGCTGTGAAGGACCCCTTGGGTTCTAAGTTGCTTTACCTTACCAAACATTTGTTCTTTTGTAAACCAAGAGCCTGACCAGTTTCCTTATACCGCTCTCTTGTGTATGACAAAAATAAAGATATATACCAATGGGGAAGATAAATTAAAGTGTCTTTCCTCCATTCAGCATCATTATACAATAATAGGTGAACTATGGGCCTTTTTTGCATACCATCAAGAGAATCTTATTATCTCTCTGGAAGGAACCCCTTCAGACTTACTTATTTCTCTAATTAATATTGAATCTGCAAGGCAAAAGTCTACTTTTTGTCACCAATGCAACCAATTTAGTCCTCAACATACTAAGAACCAATTCTACCACCTCGGGCCGCACTGAGGAGGTTTCTTCCATCTCCAGCTCACAATGTATACTTATGGGCAAGCAGCCTAAAAGGAGAAGTGCAAGGGGATGCTAACATGGTCCATATTTGTTAATGGGAACCTCCTTCTGCTGAATGAGGGAAGCTTAATCCCATGGAAGTATGGTTTCAATTTTTCATTGAAATTACAATCAAACAAGTTGCCAGCACACATTTTTCTTTGTCAGATGTTTCCCTTATGGTAGATTTGGAGTACTCTTGGGCCAGCTTATAAACCTAATTCTCTGCCAGTGTTGCTACAGACTCTTCTCTTTGTTTTCAAATTAATTTTGCCTTTTTCTCCAAGAGGTGGATACATTTGATATACAGTAGTACCTGACAAAAAAATGTCTCTTCAACACTGACTTTTTGTAGGACTCTGATGGAAAGGATGACACATTATTGGCTCTTCCTTTGCTCTCTGTAGGGAACTCTGTATGATAAAAATTACAAGAGCCAAGGGCCTGAAATTTCCTGATTTTCTAGCACTTATTAAAATTGTATTTATCAAGGTTGATTCTTGGCTGCTGATTGAACTGGCTCTCATGGAAGGAATGGCTTTTAGAGCTCTGCTTTGGGAGCAGGGGATCCTATGCACACTATTGGACAAAGTAGTCTTGGGAATGACCGTACTGTTTTCAGACTCATGAAACCACAAGCTTCTCAGGAGAGCTGAACCCAAGTTGAAAATCTTCCACCTCCTTTTCTTTGAGCAGGCAGTTTCAGAGGGAACAAGCAAAGGATAATAAAGACCAGTGTTTTTTTGATCTCTGGTCCTAGAACTGTGTCCCTAATGGGTGAGAATCTACATCAAAGAAACTAGAATAAAACTGGGAATTTACCATGTTTTTGTTTTCAGCCCATCTCCAGGCAAAGGTGTGGTGGAGTTGATTTGGCCTAGAGTTCTGGCCATGTGAATCTTTTGGCAACTGCCAAATATTACCATCTGGACCAAATCATTTTTTTTCTCTCTATCTTTGCAGGTGTTATTTTCTAAGGTGACTGCCTCTGCTTTAACTGGGGAGAAAGTGGGTCCTAAAAACAAAGATAGTGTAACTACTATTAATGCTATGTCTTACTGGAGGAGGATTGTTCTCATAAGTACTTAATACCACATATAAAAAAGACCCATCAGAAGAGAAAGAAATGAGGTATAAGTTAACATGATTTTATGAAGGGAGAACTAGAAAGGGAGCAAAGTCTGGGCTCTGCTCCTGAAATAATGTCTCAGGCGAGCTCAGTCTGGGCTCTGTTCCTGAAATAGTGTGTGACTGAAGTAAGGCATCTTTGGAGGTCCATATTCCTTCTCACATATAATTATACCTCACCAGCATCATAACACCATTAAATCTTAGGAATGGAAGGGACCTTGGGGTGTTAATATCTCTACCTATTTTAGTGTTGTTTTGTAAATCAAATGAATGTTAAAGCTGCCTTTTGAATTTATTTTTCTTCCAGTGTTACAAAGAACTTGCTATATAGAAAATATTGGGAGATGGACAGAAAAAGCTAAGATGAAAAAGACGTGATGCACTCCTTCAAAGAAACTCACCATCTTATAGGAAACATTCATTCTTTCTTTCATCCAAGTATTCAGCATTTATTTCACACTCTGTGAAAGATGTTGGGAATAAAGAGATGAAAAAGCATAATTTTTGCCTGTCTTCAAGGATCTTTTTTACTGAAGAGATAGATAAGTAGTTTAAAACTGATAAATGTGTGGTGAGTGGAAAGCCCTGAGAACTATGGTGGGTTGGGTGTCAGGGGAGGTTTCTCAGAGGGAATGACTTTTAGTTTGAGTTCTCTACATAAATAATTAAAGGGGTGAATGAAAGTGTGATGTGTATGGTCTGAGGACTGAGAGTGAGGGATAGATGGCAGATGGCATTCAGTAAGAAATGATTTTAACAGACCTGAGCACCATATTTTGGGCACCATATCTTGGGCACCATATCACCTCAGTATCAACAGAAGACTTTTTCTTAGTATTAACTGAATATTCAGTTTCTCTTGCATATTTGTGGAGAATTTTTGTCAGGGGCTTGTTCAAAGGTTAGCCCTCATAGAGGCAAACCGTAAGAGATTCTTAACCATAGAGAACAAACTGAGGGTTGCTGGAGGGGTGGTGGGTGGGCGGATGGACTAAATGGGTGATAGGTATTAAGGAGGACACTTGTTGTGATGAGCACTGGGTGTTATATGTAAGTGAAGAATCACTAAATTCTACTCCTGAAGCCCATACCACACTATATGTTAACTAACTTGAATTTAAAGAAAAAAAATCTTTGGAGAAAAAAAATAAATTATGAATGAGTGTTGAATTTTCATGAAAAAAAAAGTCAACCCTCTTAGAAATAAGTCAGACAGAAAAAGACAAATGTGATTTCACTTATATGTAGTCTAAAAAAACAAAACAAAACAAAAACAAAAACAAAAAACAAGAAGGAAAAAAGAAAAGAAAACGTGCAAATTCAACCCAAAGGAGGGCTTGGCCCTATGCAGAGGCCTCCTTCTGCACATGACTTAGTGGATTGACTGTCCCCAGGGCCACCTCAGGAAGACCTGAGGGTGGTGGGGCCATCTGAGAAGAGAGAAGGTCACTGTGTCACCCCAGAGCGTAGAGTTACCCTCTTCCAGGAACACTTGTATTGAATGGGGAAAAACTGGCTCCACTGAAAATCCGTAAAATTTTAAGAACTTGCCAAAGCAAAAGAAAACAAAAGCTTTCTCTGTTGGTCTCTCCCTGAGTCTCTAAAATACTAAACAGAAAGAGTACTACTACTCTATCCTCCACCACCTCCACCACCATCACTATTACTGTCACCGCATAAAACAACCACTGATACCATTACCACGATGTCGCTACAATAACTACCACTAAAATATTACCATTGCCACCAACAACCACTACCACTGTTACTACCACTACCAACACCACGGCCATCACTGTGACTTTAACCACCACCATCATCACTCCTACCATCACTCCCATTCTCATTCCTGAAGTAATTATGCTAGACCTTCTCAGACATCTTAACGGCCATCTATGCCCCAGGTCATAGTTCTTGCTTGCGTGAAATGGGTATTATTGATAGCCATTGTAATGTCAGTTAAAGGGACATTTTAATAAAAGCCTTTTTTTCACAATGGCTAAAGAGGATTCTTCAGGCTCACAGAGGAAAACCGAATTTTAAACATATTCTTCCCTAAAGGAATAAACAGCAATGACACATACTGCTGTCCTTGATTTAAGGTATATTCAATCCACATGGATCCTCAAGATGTAGAGAGCTATTTGAAATGTATTCCCTGGAAGAGTAGAGAAGATAGGATGGCATATTACTCACCTATGATGATACCTCATATTACTCCAGTACTTAATTTTATTCTAGAAGCTTCTTCTTTCTAACAACTTTGCAGTTGAGGCTGAGAATAGGAGTAAGTCTTCTTCTAAGAAGGTAAGAGATCCATGGTTAAAAGTGTCTCATTGTTTCTGTCAATTGTTATATATTAAGGGATTACAGAATCAACTGGAGTCAAAAGAAGTGTGCCCCGAACAGAGTTGATGATGGAGGAAAAATAAGAAATGGTTGGGGGTAGTGATTTTCCAAACATGTTTATGTGGTTAAATTCCAGGCAGTTGTATTTTAAGTTAAATTTGGAGCATTTTTTTTCCAAGAAAAACATGAGAAAAATAATTATACAATTTGTATGCAATATAAAGATAATAATCACAAGCATCTATGGAGGAAAAACTACTGAACTAGCATAATAATTATTTTCAACTTTTTAAGATTTGTTTGCAATTTCTTCAGTTGTTTTATCATCTATTAGCACTCTTTCAAGTCACACAATAAAGATCTCTTAAGACAAGTATGTCACACTACTGAATGAATGCTAGTTCTTGAAGACACCATGAAGACCATGCCACAGTACCTGCCTTGGAGTTTGTCACCTACCGAAAACAATAGTAAGCAAGTAGTGCCATTACAGAGAGATTATGCTACAGTAAATGTAGGACTTGGTTCAATCAAAGCACCTGAGGTAGGTATCTAAATCAAGTTTGGCATCATAAAGGGCATAGTCAGAAAAGGAGGCCAAGATTAAATATCATCTATTCTGTCACTTGAAAAGATGGGAAGGATTTTACTGGAGCAAGGAAGGTGGAAAGATAAGGAAGGAGGAAGGGATATTTTAGGCAAAAGAAATAGTGTGTGAAAAGACAAAGGACTATAAAATAAAGTACAGTTTGTACTAGGAATTGCTAAAGAGATCAGTATAGTGGAGATATCATAGCAGATAAATAGTAGGCTATAACTGTATATGAAAAAAATATCTGAGGAAAATTAAACATTGAGGAAATTCTATTTGTTAGAAGTGTTTTTCCCACTGTGAACTGAAAAAGAACATTGCTTTTTGACCATTTGGATTCAGTTAACTGGTGAAACACCAGTATTTCATGGGAGCATACATAACTGGGTCAACTAGTCATACTGGCCATACTGGCCAACTACCCAGTATGGCCACATCTGGTTTTAAGATAAGGTCTAATTTGGGATTAAATCCATGTCTACCCTGAGATTTGGACTGAAGGCAGAGTTAGAAGGAAGTTGCAGTAAAGATGGGAGAGTGACAGTGGAGTTGTAAACATATTTTAGGTGTATGTGTGTGTGTGCGTGTGTGTGCATGTGTGTGTTCCCTATTATGCCTTTTACTGTCTTAGGATTCAGGTCTGTTAAGCACATGCAAAATGAAAGACAGATATTCCTAATGAGTTTCTAGGACCTATTAGAAGGTAATGACAGAATCCTAGTCTTGTATATATTTTATTCTTGCTATAACTACAAAAGCATGGAAAGGGAGGCAATATTAGTGGTAGAAAACAAATACAGAACTAATCAGCTCTGACAGTCCAATTTTATTTTATTTTTATTTATATTTTTAAAGATTTTATTTATTTATTCCTAAGAGACAGAGACAGAGAGAGAGG